CGGTGGCGATATCAGTCGCCAAGAAATTCAAGCGGCCATTGCTAAAGCTGTCGAGCTTAGGGCTCTTCATGCCGCTCTTATGCAAGGAAGTAGCCCTTCTAATGTTCGATTCCCTTCGGCTTCTCCTGTTTCTCAGGCTGCTTCTCAATTCTCTGCGCAAGATTACCCTGTTTTTACCCCTGTGAGTTTAACTTCTACACTCTTTTATGTTGAATCATTGTTTTTCTTTTCTGTTTTTTTTTTGAAGTTTTGCTTTTCAATTTTGGACTTTCTTGATTTTATTATGATTTATGGATTTTATTTGCATCATTCACACAGATTAGCATTTATGGATAGCATTTAATGCCTTTTTTTGCTTGAGTCGAGGATATTTTAGGATCACCATCCTTCTGTTTCACATTCTTCTCCGTCATTTTCTAGTTGGTTTATTGATGATTTTGAAATTTTGGGTATGCTTTGGTGGCTGTGTACGAAATGATCTAACCTAACAAATACATTTATGAGGGGTTAACTGTCAGTCAAACTAGAGACATGTGTTTGGTGAGCAACCAAAAAACATGGGTTTCTGTGAAACTTGAATTTGGAAATCATTTTTCAGAGTTATGAAGATGAACCGACGACTGGCTACCACCAAGTTCCGATGAGAATTGGGACTTTTTCAGAAACCTGGGAGGAGTATGGATTAGGAGGTGGAGGAAATGAAGATGAAACAGTTTTATCTGATTATAGGAAGGAGATTTCAAAAGGGTTGGGTTCTGATTTCACAAATTCGGAACCCCATATTTGTCCTGCTGAAGAACACAAAGCTCTCACTGGATCTGCAGTTCAAACATCACCTGTGAATGATTACTTCAAATCATCCAGGAGGAACAGTTTGGGGGACTCGAAATCAATTTCTTCGTGCAATCGCTGCAGGCCTGCAACTATCACAAAGGAGAGTGACAATGCAGCAAAGAACAGCAGGCTTTCGAACACCATAGTGCCATTGACAGATTCCCACTTGGCAACACAATCGCAATCGAAAAGCCGGGGAGTGATTTCGTGGCTGTTTCCACGGTTAAAGAAGAAGAACAAGAATGAGAATTCCCCAAACAGGACGGAGTCAGAGGATGTCTCTCAGATTTTTAAGGATTTGGGGATAGTGTCCATTGAAACGTTGAAGAAAGAATTGATTGAGGCAAACGAAACGAGAGATGCTGCATTGCTGGAGGTGGGCGAGGTGAAGTCGTCTTTAGGTGAGCTGAGGCAGAAGCTGGAGGGGTTAGAGAGTTACTGTGAGGAGCTAAAGAGAGCTTTGAAGCAAGCCACAAATGCAAGAGATCTCCAAACTGTCACCAATTTGCCAAAGAAAATAACATTGAGCGCAGGGACGAACGGTGAGAATCAAATGCCAGTGAGTGAGGAAGTAATGGTGGAAGGGTTCTTGCAGATTGTATCAGAAGCAAGGCTATCAGTAAAGCAATTCTGCAAGACACTTGTAAGCCAGATTGAAGAAACTGATAGCACCCTGATGGAGAATTTGAACGCACTTCTTCAGCCTTACAAGTTAGCTCTAAACTCCAAGTACTCAAGAGCTGTTTTGTACCATTTAGAGGCTATTATCAATCAGGCACTGTATCAAGATTTTGAGAATTGTGTGTTTCAAAAGAACGGCTCCCCCAAGCTGTTAGATCCTCAGCAAGATCGGGAAGCGAAGTTCTCGTCGTTCGTGGCGCTGCGAAATCTCAGCTGGAATGAAGTGTTAAGGAAGGGAACAAAGTACTACAGTGAAGAGTTCAGCAAGTTTTGTGATCAAAAGATGAGCTGCATCATCACAACACTGAATTGGACAAGACCATGGCCAGAGCAACTGCTTCAAGCATTCTTTGTTGCTGCCAAATGCATTTGGCTGCTTCACTTGCTGGCCTTCTCATTCGATCCACCACTTAAGATCCTGAGGGTGGAAGAGAACAGAAGCTTCGATCCGAGTTACATGGAAGACATGTTTGCAGAGAGGCAGAGAAATGGTCCGAGTCGGGTTAAGATCATGGTGATGCCAGGGTTTTATGTACAAGACAGAATTTTAAGATGTAAAGTTGTTTGCAGGTATAAGTCACCTGCTTAAGGTATTTGGAGATTGTTCTTATATATATATAAATAAGAATGGGTGTAGAAAATCAATCAAATTTAGTGAAATCTTTGCTCCTGTGTATGAATTATATTTGCTTTGTTAATTCATTAGTTACATGTTTATATCTATGTGATATCAAATTAAACTGCGGTGTATTTAACGGATATATCAGTTACAAATGTTATTAAAGTCAGGTATGTGCTAACGAGGATGTTGAGCCCATAATAGTGTGGATGGTGAAATTTCACTCTAATTTGAGAGGATAACAAAACATTTTTATAAGGTTGTGAAAACTTCTCTCTAGTGGACGCGTTTTAAAACTGTGAGGTTGACAGCGATATGAATCGACCCAACTAGACAATATCTACTAAGGACGAGCTTGAGCTGTTGCAAATGTATTTAGAGCTTTCTTGTGCCTTTGAAGAGCATTTTTATAAGATAACTCTTCTTCTAAGGATACATCGAGTGTGTAATTAAAACATGTGAGAGTATGGTGATTTTAATCTCGAACCTTAAAAGAAAGGAGCAGATACCAAATGTTGTCGAGTTAGACTCGGTGGTGGATGTAGTGAAATTTATTAAAGTACAACACAACTAGCTAATGCACGTGTTCCATTGAAAATTATTTGTATAAATTTAATATCCGCATTTCCTAATCTTAATGTTGTTGATGTTGTGCACCGAAAGTAGAACAAATATACTCACAACCACAATGGACGGAATTACACAAAGAGACACCACGTGGTTCGGAAAGAAGAAGCTACCCTACATCCACTATCACACTACAAAGAACTCTCACCAAAATGTCACTCAAGAAATACAATGCGACACACAAAACTCATATCACAACGCAGTAGACAAGTCCATTATGCAGGACAATTATCAAAAGTTATGGAATTAAATAAAATTAATAAACAAAATTTAAACACGGCACGCTGGGTGTGACACTGGGCTTTGATCTTGAATTTTATACCCAGGCAGGCAGTGCTGATTGTGACTGTGATGCGTACTCACGTAAGACGCACATTCATACGCACATCCATTCATATCATCTTCTTTTTGTTTCACATACCAATGGAATGACATGAAAAGAGGCATCTCCCCCCCTCTTTCCTCTCTGTTTTCCTCTCTGTTTTTCCTCTCTGCCACAATTCATACCTTTCCATTTATTCACTTCCCCCCATAAATTACATCTTTTCGTTGAGTTGGGTTTCCATATAAACAACCCACGTCAGAAACTTTGGAGACAAACCATCTGAGTATCATCTATGGGCGATGGAAAAGAGAGCGTTGTGCTATTCCCCTTCATGGGGCAGGGCCATATCATTCCATTTCTTGCTTTAGCCCTCCATATCGAGCAAACAAACAGCACTGACTGTGCAATCTACTTTGTGAACACTCCCTTGAACGTTAGGAAGCTCAAATCTTCACTTCCTCCAAATTCTTCCATTCGTTTTCTTGAGATCCCTTTCTCAAGCATCACCCATGGCCTCCCACCCGCATCTGAAAACGCTGATACCCTTCCTTATCACCTTGTCATGCGTCTTTTCCAAGCTTCCGCTTCCCTTGAGTTCAAATCCTCTTTCATGGAAGCCATTCACAATCTCACAATTCACAACCATGGCCGCCCTCCACTCTGTATCATCTCCGACATCTTTCTTGGCTGGACTGCAACTCTTGCTAAAGAACTCGGTGTGTACCATGCAATTTTTAGCGGCGCAGGTGGTTTTGGCTTGGCTTGCTATTACTCTCTTTGGTTCGATCTTCCTCACCGGAAGGTTTCCACGGACGAGTTCTCTCTGCCGGATTTTGAAGAAGCCTCGATTGTACTCCATAGGACCCAGTTGCCGGCCAACATTGCGGAGGCCGACGGTGAGGACGATTGGTCGATTTTCCATAGGGAAAATTTATCGGCGTGGGTGGATTCTGATTGGTTGCTTTTCAACACGGTTGAGGAGTTCGATCAAATTGGGTTGTCGTATTTCCGGCGTAAATTTCCCGGTGCAATTGTTCGACCAATCGGACCACTTGTATTGGAATTAAAAAGCCGAGATCGTATCGGCAATACAACCGGAGAAGTAACAAGAGAAGCCATCCTCAAATGGCTGGATTCGAAGCCATCGAACTCTGTTTTATACGTCTCTTTCGGGTCGATGAACACGATTTCCGCCTCACAAATGATGCAATTAGGCAAGGCATTAGAGGGCAGCGGCAAGAATTTCATCTGGGTAGTTCGGCCTCCGATTGGGGTGGACATAAACTCAGAATTCAAGGCGGAGGAATGGCTTCCGGAAGGATTCGAAGAGAGAAACAAAGCTTCAGGGAGGGGGCTGTTGGTGCAGAAATGGGCGCCACAAGTGGAGATTCTGTCGCACAGAGCAGCATCGGCATTTTTGTCGCACTGTGGATGGAATTCAGTGATGGAATCGCTAAGCCAAGGGGTGCCAATGTTGGGATGGGCGCTAGCGGGAGAGCAGTTCTTCAACGTGAAATTTCTGGAGGAGGAGGTGGGGGCTTGCGTGGAGGTGGGGAGAGGAAAGCAAAGCGAAGTGAAGAGTGAGGATATTGAGAGGAAGATAAAATGGGTGATGGAAGAGACGGAGAAAGGGAAGGAGATGAGAAGAAATGCAGAGAAAGTGAAGGAGATAATAGATAAGGCGTGGAAACATGGGGATGGATCCTCTGTTAAATCAGTACATGACTTTCTGACCGCCGCCAAACAACTCATTGTTTAAGCTTTTAATTTTAAGGTATCATGATATGCTACACAATAAGAACACATTAAATCCAAGCACTTTTATTATTATTATTATGGTTATGGGTCAGAATTCGTATATTGAGAGGCCCAGTTGATGGTTTATGGACTGTTTTTCGACATCATCCCTGAAGCCGTCAATGGCATAGCTTTGATGCGCCATAGCCGCCGGTGTCCTCACCAGTCTTCTTCTTCTTCTTCTTCTTCTTCTTCTTCTTCTGCGGTGGCGTCAGAAGCAATGCAAATGACATGATGATTATGTAGTGTTATAGAGTGAAGAGTGCATCTGGTGGTGTAACATTAAAAAGGGTAATGAAATAAATGTAGAGATTGTCAAAATAAAACAGAGTTTAATTATGTTTAAATAGGGGGAGGAGGTTGTGTTGTGTGAGGGGAGGTGGTGCAAAGGGCAGTGAGGGATGGGTTGGCAGCGCAGCTGGGGAGAGGCCTAATATTTATGCAAACCAAATGAACTCGACCACAAAAATATAGAAATGAAATAAATTAAGTAAATAAAAAACAGAGCCTCACTACTCGTTCTTTGTCTCTTCACTCTCTTCTCTAATACGCAGAAACGCAAACAAACCCATCATATAAAATCCCGATTCAGAATTCAATTCACCCTCTCTTTTTTTTTCGATAATTATATATATATATATATAAAAAAAAAAGGAAAAAAAACGAAAAGAAAAGAGGAAAGCCCTTTTGGATTCATTATTGTGTTTTGAATTCAATCCTCATAAACCCTAAATTCGAAATGGGAATGATGACGTGAGGAGGGTGGCTACGGACATGGTTGTGCAACGCGAAACCAACACCAAACCATGGGGAACGCTGGAGGAGCTCTTGCTCGCCTCCGCTGTTAACCGTCATGGCACCACAAGTTGGGACTCCGTCGCCATGGAAATACACAATCGATGCTCTCAATCCTCTTCTTCTCTAACTCCCCAAGATTGTAGGATCAAGTTCCACGACCTCAAGCGCCGATTCCTCTCCCAAAATGACCTCGATTCTGATTCCACCTCCCTCATGCCTATTCTCGAAGAGTTGAGGAAGATTCGGGTGGAGGAGCTCCGCCGCGATGTTCAACGTCGGGATGTCTTGATCGTGTAATATTCTTGCTCTTCCACTCAGAGATCTGACCCCGACTGATTGGTGGGTTTAGAGATCTGAAGATGTTTCCCCCTTTTTGTCTGTGTCGACAGGTCATTGGAAATGAAGGTGAAGCGGTTGGAGGAGGAGAGGGACCGGAGTTTCAACGAACCCGATGGGGGACCGGATCTGGACGTGAACGCCGTCGACACCAACCTCTGCCCGCTTAATCCCACGCCCTCCGGCGACGACTCCGACGATCGCGAGAACCGATCCCTGGACGAATCCAATTCCACGAGTAAAAAAAAAGAGGAGGGCGTTGGACAGAACGGCGTGGTTCGGGAGAGGCCGATATCCGAAACAGTCAAAATCACAAAAAAGAAGGAAACCGGGGCGGCACGAACCGGGGATGAACCGGAGGCAGAAAGAGAAAAGGAGTCTGCAGCGGGAGGAGGATATAAACGAAGGGAGAAAAAAGAAAGAAATTGGGGAAATTCGAAGGGGAAGGCGTCTGCGGTGGGCGATTCGAACGAAGCGTGGGAATCGGTGAGCGAGTCGAAGCAAGAAGGGACAGAGGGGGCGGTGGCGAAGCAGCAGAGCAGCGACGTACAAAGCTCAGCCGGTTTGTCCCAGAGGAAACGGTGTCGTAGCAGAGGAGGAAATGGAACTAGCAGCGGCGAAGAGCCCGAGGTATCTCCCGCCAAGCCCAAGCCCAAGCCCAACCCCAAGTCCAAGCCCAACCCCAAGCCCAACTCCAACCCTGCAGCCGTCAAATCTGAGCCGTTGCTCAAATTCCTGGAGATCATTCGCTCCCATCGGCTTGGCTCTGCCTTCGAGCGCCGTCTACGGAGCCAGGTACGTTCGCCCCATTTTCCTATTTTATATCAATTATAGTAAATAAAATAATAAAAAGGAAAAAAGAAAAAAGAAAAAAGGGAACGTAGAAAAAGTAACGTGTAAAGAAGGAATCACCCATAATCCATCATCCTCAAATAAGTCCAGGTGGATGTGAAATCCACGACTTTGTGCTTGGGGACGCGTGTCGTAGTCGTAGGACGTATAAGGACTTTTTTGTCATTCACGCTTAGAAAACGAGGGTATTTTGGTCCTCACGGTAGGTGACATCTTAGCCTTCTCACCTTCACACATAAGCATGCAATTGATACTTTTTTTTGTCATTCACCCTTCCGTTTCTTCAAACACTGCCAAAACAGCGTCGTTTAACCCTCAAATGGAAATTACTCGCTGCCCCAATCGCTAAATCAAGTCTAGCCCGTCATTGGCGGGTGGCCCAAAAGTTAAATATGGGTAAAATGGTAAATGTGATCACTGCTATTTCTATTTAAATTTTTTTTTATCATTCTCAACAATTAATATTTTTTAATGACATACCTGGCGATTCAGAAATATCCCAGCCGTTCATCTCTCAAACCGTTTCCGGTTCGACGAGATGGACTTGGATCCCGGTTTGAATCCAGTCTATCCGTACGGTTCAGAACGCTTTCCTAAACCCTTCTCCATCGGTGGAGGAACTGAGTGGACCCTCTCTTTAATTATCCATTGTTTTAATTGTGGCAGGAATCGGATAGATACAAAAAATTGATTCGGCAACACATCGATCTGAGAACGATTCATTCGAGAGTGGTGAAAGGTGCCTATGCGGATTCAATTCACCGGTTCTTCCGAGATCTCCTCCTCCTCTTCAACAATGCCGTCATCTTTTTCCACAGATCTTCCCCCGAAAATGGTGCCGCAGTGAAGCTTCGAGCTCTCGTGTTGAAAGAAATGAAAGACAGAATACGAAAGCCCCAACCCCCCATAGTCGCAAAATCAAAACCCAAGCAAGAAGCGGATGTGTCATCGTCCAAGCCCAGAAAGCCATCTGCTACCATGGTGGTGTGTCGCAAACGAGATTCTGTTTCTCAGACATCGGATGTGGGAGGCAAAAAATCGGAGAATAATTCAAGAGAGGGTGAAGGGAAGAGGAAGGGCAATGATTGTTCGGAGATAAAAATTTACGAGAAGGGTACATGGAAGAAGGGTTTGAATTTGAAAGAGAGGGGAAGACCGGGAGTGGGTAATTCGGGAGCGAGAAGCTGTAGAACAACGACGAACAAAAAGAACGGGGAAGTGAAGCACGAATACGGGGGGAACGAATTGAGCTCTCACGATGGGATGGGAGTTCGAATGGAAAAGAAAGAAAAAGAGAAAGGGACGAAGAAGAAGCAGGTGGCTGTGAGGTTCTTGAAGAGAATGAAGCAGAATTCTCCAAGCGAAGCCACGGACGAAGATGGCGATGGCTCAGAGGATGAGAGTTTAAAAGAAGAGGAGGAGGAGGAGGAGGAGGAGGAAGAAGAAGAGGAAGAAGAAGAAGAAGAAGAGGAAGAAGAAGAGGAGAAGAAGAGGAAGATGAAGAAACAGAATGAAGGGAAAAGAGAAAGGGTAAGGCGGAGTGGGGGAGGAGGAGGAGGAGGAGGAGGAGGAGGAAGAGGAGGGGGGAGAGGGAAGAGAGGGGTGGGGAGGCCGCCGAAGAAAGCCGAAACAGTGAGCGTAAAAAGGCAACAGAGGGAGGAGGTGGTAGGAGGGAGTAAACCCCGAAAGCGTTCAAGGAGATAAAAAGATGATTACTACCATTATTGATTCTCAAATGTACAATGTAAACTATTTGACTCTGTTTTTTTTTCCATTTTCTTTAGCAGCAGCTTACATTAGAAAGAGAGACAGAGAGAGAGGAGAGCGGGAGGAAAACAGGGGAGTGGGGACTGACTGACAGGAGGAAGGACCATTCTTTATTATTCTTTTTTGTGTTTCCTTTTTGGTTTGCATAGGGAATTTTGTGGGTGGCAATTCATATACATAATATCCTCCGATTAAAGAATTCTTTGGAATTGGGAAGCTTGATTTTGTTGTTGAAATTGAAGTAAGTGGAGGAGTTCAGCTTAGGTTGGTATGACCCATTTCCACGACAGCCTGGGCCTGGCGTCCAACTGATGTTCAACTTAAAAAGAGTTTTCAAGTTTGAGAGGGAGGGGAATCATGTGACTGACTCGCATGACACCCATGTGAACCAAATCATAAATTAAACAATAATCTTCTTTCTTCAGACTACTCACTACTCACTACCACCGTTCTTTACAACGCCAGGCACAACCCAGATCAGATCAGATCAGATCAGATCAGATCTGTAAGCACACCCTCCCCACGCCGACTATGAAAATCCCTCTGCTCTGTTTCTTCGCCTTCATCATTCTCATCTTCATTTCCGTTCCTTTTCCAATGGGATTCCGCACTCACGAATCCGCTCGTCTTCCCACGCCCCAAATTGAATCCAGAAGACTGTTGCTGCTTTCCTCACTTTCCTCCTTCTCCACCCACCGGAACAAGACCCAGACCGGCAGCACAGGCGCTAAATCTGCAGACGCCACGAGTCTGAGGGTGGCGCCACCGAGCAAATCAAATCCCACGCAGAACAAGTAATGCATTGCCTGCCCACTTAGCTTTTTTGTTGTCGTTGTTGTTGTTGTACAAACATGTTAGAATGAGAAGTGAAAGAGTAGGTTCAACCGAAACCCTTCTCTTTCAAAATTTTTGCAGTTCTGTTTTTTATACATAGATTACTATTCTTCATAAACAGATATGAATGGATTTCTGTGTTACTTGTATTTTGGTTCTTTGTGAGACCGTAGATTTATTTATTTCTTAAATTGGAAATGTTTGGTTAGTGAGTTCAGGTCAAAAAAAGTATGTAAATTCATTCTAACTTCATTTTTTGTAATAATATTACCATATTTTTAATTTATTCTGGGAGTTTAGTTTATATATGATTTCTTAATAAATAAGATGAGTTTTTTTTAGATACCAAAATGATAATGAATGAACATGAGTAGGTTTTGGAGCATTTTATATTTAAGTAATACAAACTAATAAATATATTTGACCAAATAAACTAAAAATGTCCATTCCTCAAATCTAATTTAAATAATTCATAAAATGATATCATGGATTTACGTTTGAAAAAGAAACAATGTTGTATGTTCAAAGCAAAATAAAAGATGTAAAACAATGCCATAGACAAACCTAAGATCTACAAAATAAAGTGCAACTACCCTAATCCAAGGTTCATGATTTTTAACACGCATACGAGTGTCTTGCATTTGTCTAAAATATTTCAAGAAATATCCCGTAACTTACCCTGCTAGCCTTACGATCTTAGGCAACTTTTCCGTTCAAATAAATTAGATGTGTATTTACTGTTTTACCCACTGTCCACGCGGGATTTTGGTTTGGGGATGAATATATGAATAAAATATAGAAGGGGTGAGATAAGAAATAGAATTATATTGATAAGTATAAAAGTGGAAGAAATAATGAAAATAATTTAATTAGTGTAAAATTATAAGAATCGAAGTTGGTAATTGGTAGTGTAATAAAGAGGAATAATGTGAGCAATTAATTTAGTTGCAGTCTTCCGGTCCTCGTTTACCAAGAAATCCCTGGTTTTGTTTTTGCTTCACGCTTCCCAGTTTTGCCAAATCGCCATCTGCTTCTGCTTCTGTGCCTTTGGTGCTTTGCCCATTGCCATTGCCATTGCCGAATCTTCCCCTCTGCATCTTCCTTTTCGTTTACTTCTTCTCCACTCTTCATTTTTCTCACCTTTTGCTTTCCTCTAATCTTATTTCCCCTCCTCCTTCCATCGGCAAACCTCCCAGATGTGTTTCATGCTGCTACCTTCTTGCTCATCACAGGTTTCCTTCACTCTCTCCTCTCGATTTACCCCTTTTTTTTGTTCTGTTTCTATATTTGTTTTATTTATTTTTTTTTTTTCCTCTTTATTGCGTTTTTTTGTCTCTTGAGCTCCAAGATTCCACTGCGGTTTGATTACTTTCATATTTTCTGTTGCCCTGCTTCGGATCTTACTCTTCTCGACTCGACAGATTGTTTGATGGTTTTTCCGTTTTCCTGGTGAATATCTTTTGGGTTTCTTTTGTTACCTCAACCCACCATTACGGATCTTTGTTGGGGTTTGGTCGTCTTTCTACTTCTGGAACCTATGCGTTCTGGACATAAATGTTTCAATGTATACAGGATACAAATAGAATATTCACCTCTTGGACAGCTAAAATCATGTAGCAATACTTGTTTTGTCACATATTTAGTTCATTACTTGTCTGATTTGATGTTCCAACACTTCTTCATATGCATCACCGAGCTTGAGTTTATTTTACTTTTCTTTTAGTTGAACTTGAACCTGAATAAGAAAAAGCCCTTAGTTTGACAGTAGATTTCTATTGTTCATTGTATTTGTAAGCAGATAACTTTTGATTTAGTTTCGCCACTGAAGTTTCATGTTATAATCTTTATTTGTTAACTTGAAAAGCGCTATAGTTGGTGATCTTATGTTGTAATCTTTATTTGAAGTTTCACTCTTTTATTCGTTTTTCTACATGTTGCAGTAAGCTTTTATGCATGAGTTTTTGTTGAAAATTGTATAACTATGGGTAGAGGAAGAGGGAAAGGAAAGAAATCCACCATAGCCAGTCTTGAAGATTCAACAACTGGTGAGGAAGATAAAATTTCGTCGCAGAAGCAAAATGGAAGTGCAGAACAGCCACAAACAGATGAAATGAAGGAAGAAGAGTTTGGAAGAGTAGAAGCCATAGATGAGCAAGCTAAGACTGATCCTGGCGAAGTGATTGAAAGTCCAAATCCAGCAGAAACAGGGAAGAAGAGGAAAAGGAACTCTTCAATGAAGGAGAAAATGGGTTTAGTTAATGATGCAAGCTGTAAGGGTACCCAAACAAGCATTGTCCAAGTCAAGTCTAATGGATTCCGGCATCATGGAAGCAGGCGAAAAAGCAAGCCACGTCGAGCTGCTGAAGCAGTTGTTGAATGCAGATAAATATTTGGTTGATTATTGGAACATCTGTCCCTTTTGTGGTGTGAAACATGGTAATATCTGGTGTCCTGTTTCTGTTAATGCTGATTTTTCTCATTTCAATTGTTGTTACTGCCCAATTTTGATACCAAAAGTGGGACTAAAAGTTCTTAGCCCTTTTTCTTGTAGTTCCTGATACTGTTACTGTCACAATTCATATCTATTTCTTAAGAACATGCATACATTAGTTAATATATGAAGCTCTGCGGCATGGTTTTAGCCTACAATATGAATCAAACACCTTTTGGTTGGATTAGCATTTAAATGGAAACACTACAAGGAACCCCTCTTGCCGTCACACCGGGCTCTGAATATGGCTTCAAAATTTGATAAGGCCCCACCCCAGCACCATGTCTGTTTTTCAGTTTGGGATTCCCATTCCTTTCATCAATGATCTCTTCCAATTTTTTCAGTTTCCTGCTAAACTTCTCAAATGCTTCCTTTATAACAGGCTCATCACCCCATGCTGGTTCCATGTCCGCTCCCAAATACTCCTCATCTCTTGAATGACTTGACAATATATTCAGGATGAACAGAAGTATGTTTGCTTGAATCTGTGTAGGAAACGTATCTAGAAACACATTTTCTGGATTTTCAAGGAAGTACTTCCAGAGTGTTGAGTTAGGTTCCTCTGTGGGTATGTTGAGTCGAGTAAGACTGGGTCGAATTGGGTAATAACTCGTAAAAGGATATTGTCCGAAGTTGACTGCGGCGTGGTGGCCGGAAGTAACCCATATGATGGTTGTGACAATATGAATGAGGTCGTTAGGAGTGTTGAGAATTGGCCACCATGGTTCGTCCTTCTTATCTCCATGGCCTACTTCTCTAATCTCTGTCCACCAGGCTTGAAGTTCTCCATCTGAATTGACAAGACTTGGGTCTGGATAGTAGTGATTCACGTATTCCGTTACCCATTGTTTGATGGCATCCCAAAGGATTAGGCCATCATTGGCAAAAGGGTAGTCTTCAATACTCAACTTTAATCCGTGAGGTGCATTTGGATCTTCAACAGCCAACCCCCTGTTTTAATTCAAATGGTTAAGTAAAAGTTGTATAAGAAGAAAACATATGTTTAAAGGATTTACCTGTGAATTAAGTCGGCAGGTAAAGCTTCTAAGTTGAATTGCCATTGTTTCTCATAGACCACGGAACTGATTTCCATAGAATATTTTCCTGGTGAGAAGATGCTCTCAATCAGTCCTTCCACATTGATAAGAGTTTCGCGAGCAACTGCATTGATCGCCATGGTGTGTCGAAAATGGGGATGCAAAAGTCTGTAAATTGGATGCATTGCACTTAGTTGTCTATGTGTAGCAATAACGTAAGGTTCCACACAGCAATGAGTTCTAAGCCAGTGGCTAACAAGTTGGTGATAACCAGAGTCATGGGCAAGAACATGAGCTTTGGCAATCCTCCAAAGCCAGAGGCCATAGGCATCCCAACATGGCGTGAAAACGTCTTTCCATTGTGGTTTGTCGTCAATTGGTGGCCTACTGAGCTCAATAGCCAGTGGCCTTAAAGTGTTGTCCGGGTTCAAGAAAAATAATGTCCTTGAACCGTATAATGTTCTTCCTTTAAGCTCTCGCACCTTTGCTACATATGGTATGAACAGATCGTGATAGTCTAGTATAAATAGCTTCCTCTGTTTCACTGCCTGCACCCCCACAACATTCAAAATTTT